GTTCTCCTCTTAAAGAGCCGGGCACATCAAGTCCTAAGCGAATGTCGAAGTCAGACCCTGGTGTGCATTGACTGCGTGACTCCGGAATAGAGCCCTCAAGAATACCCTCGAGGCGTCGGCTCCCTGCAAAGAGCCAGCCGAGAAGCAAGAAGCCGGGCAGCAAAAGTCAGCAACCGTTTTGTATTCGTAGCAGTTTATAACTACGCATAGCAGCAGGATCCTCAACTGCACAGGGGTACGACAAAGGATGATGACGATGATGCGTGGTGCCCATGATCATCATCAGCAGTGGCATTTGTAGCTAGAGCTCGCACAAGAAGCGGCAGTGTCGAGGGGTGCCTGGTGCTTGCTGCTTACGGATTTCCAAATCATTCCTTGGCCCCTTGGTGCACCGCCTATCGCGCTTGTGCACGGTAGCAGCTTTCTAAAGTTGCTGAGCCGTGACGGCCACAAGCAGCCGTTAAGCCACTGGAGCGTGCAGAAGCATGCTGCAGCAGCCGTTGCCGCTTCTTTGCGGAGGAAGGCGCACGCATGGGCCTGTCCTGGAAGACTCCCCAGCGACATCTTCACCAGACCTGCTCAGGCTTCTCTGACATTTGCCACAAGCTAAGCGAAGCAGCAATGCGTGAAACGGTCGCGTCGCACGTTCCACCTGGCAGTGTCTCGTGCCAGTGCCAGATTCGCATTTCAGACAAAATCTATACCATCATGGTCACCACCGTCGTCCACATTATCATCAGAACAGTAGCCCTCTGACATGGCTACCGGTCCCAAAGGATTGTCACTTTCACGGATGAAACATTGAACTGGTTTGGCGAATGGACTTGACGGGTCGATTGTTGAAGGTTGTCATTAGTTCCCTGCCCTTGCAGCAGATCCTCGTTCGTGCCATCCACCTTCCCCGCGGCTGCGGAGGCCACATCTCTATCATTCTCTCTCGCGCTCGCCTGGCTACTTTCCCAAGACCCTGCCCACCCACCTTCATGCCGCGTGTTTTAGTTGAATCAACAGCGGACTGAATGTCTTCTCCAATTGCCGAGGCGGATCCCGCAACTCCGGGGCCAATGCTTTACCAGAAGCTCTTCAGCCACTTGCTCCGTCGAAAACCTGAGTCATTCACTTGTCCATCCAATGGGTTGCCGCTCGTTGAGACCACATGTTGAGGATTGATTTGTTTCGCAGTTTTGGCACAGCATCTCTTTCACGGGGCTCCACAGCAACTTGCCATCCCGGTGTATCCAAGGCCAGGCAGCCGAAACAGAGGAGCCCCGGAAGGTTGCTGCGTGACAAGAGTAAGAGCTTGGCAACGTCGGACCGGAGAACCCGAAAGCTGTTGCAAAACCGACTGAGCGTCAGACCCCCAACAATTTGTCCGAGTGTGAGCGCTGAAACAATTTGAAGCTGCTAAGCTGCTAGTGCCGACCAGTGAAAGTAATTCAAACCCGAGACCTCGGCTGGCAAGTCCGAGTTGCGAGAGCGTAAACACTTTGAAGCCTTCGACGAACGAAGGGGAGGGCAAGATACTACGAGTCTGTATGGGACAAACAGCAACACTTCCGTGCACATGCCGGCAAACCCTTCGGGCAGCACACTCAAATGTGTGTGTGTGTGCGTGTAGATATATGCTTGTACGCATGCATGTATGTAACTGTATGTATGTATATATGTATGTCTGGAAGTATAATATATCCACCAGGACCTCCGGGAAGTTGTGTATTGCAACCTGGCTCATCCCTCTACCAGCTTGTCACTTGGCAGTCAGCTTGGGATATCTGTGATCCCCAACATAACGGCACACAATTGCTTAGATGGACAACTAAGCTCGTGATGGAGAATCGTTGCGGCCATGGGGAGTTCTTTCGGAAAGTCTTCACGGATTATCCGGCACTGTGGTCTGCTCAAAGGGCTCCCTCTCTTGCTTTTTGTGTTCGCTGCAGCGTTGGCTCGTTGTGACCATCCAGTCCAGCCCAAGGGCTGTTAGGCTGCTGCTCATGAAGAGGCAGGCAGAATCCCAGCATGTGGCTGGGGCACAAGAGCAGCAGCGGCTTGCCTCGATTGTGGTTTCGGGTTTGCACTCTGCTTCCCTTATCGACCGGAAGTGGCAACAAAATTCAACGAACGTGAGAATTTGCCACCCGAACGCTTGCGGCATGTGTGTCGGGGCACCGCCGCGATAGCTTGGACTCCATAATCAGAGCAGTCGAGGAGCAAGGTCGGGCGCAAGCGACCCATCATCTGCTACTCTCTGCCGCTGATGGGCCATGTGACCCCGATCCTGAGCATCGCGCCCGGCACGAGAATTGTGGTGCTTGCCTGGTACGTTCATGAGGCTTTGGTCTCACAACTCCCATAAGACACGTAAAGTTTCATGTTCAACCAGCCATCTTCCGGCAACATGCATCTTGAGAACACAGATGCCAACTTGTATCTATCGCAAACGGTTGAGGCATTTGCAATGCATTGCGGAGCAAGGGCCACAAGGTTCGGCCGCTTTCTGTGCGGATGCAATCATATATGTTGGGGGCTGCCATCATGCGGGGGCAAGCAGACAGGCTCAGGGGCCCAAGCAGGGTTTAGAATCTGTTTATGTATCCGTTTGTCCATCGCTGCGCAGCTATGTATCTCTGTGTCCTTTTGCGTCTCTCTCTCTCTCTCTCTGTCTCTGTCTTTCTCTCTCTGGGGCTGTGGGTTAAAATGGCTTGGAAAGGGATCAGATTAGGGCTTGTGGGGGGCCTGAGTGGGTTTGTACATGAATCAGGTTTTTTGCTAAATATGAGAAAATGAGACCCAAAGCCGTGCTGTCGCGTGGATACCTCAGACTGCAATGCTGCGTCATACAGTGTTGCGCATGAGCCTAGAGACCCCCGTGTGTCGCGTCTCTAAGCTTGGTGTGCGGTGTCTTGACTTGTAGGCTTGTGCGCGGGGTGGTTGTGAGTGTGGGAGGGTGTATATATGTGCTGTGCTTTGATCTGCTGTTTATCTCTGTGACAACCTGCTTCCCTGCGCTGCTGAAAAGGCCCTGACCCTCACATCAACAGTCCAAGGACTTGAACAATGAGACCTCACGCTCATGACCCAACTTGGGTATACAAAGGTGACAAACCCCTCCACACAACAATACACAACATGTAATTGTTTGGGATTGAGACGGGTCCGGAAGTCACCCAATGTGACCCCCCAAACCGCTCCCGCGCCGCGGCCACAACTGCCCCTTCGCCCCGGACCCAATCAGACCCCCCACCAGACCCAATCTGACCCCTCCCCACCCCCCCCCCCCAAGCACAATTCTTCCAGCCCCAATCTGACCCCTCACTCCAATCCGATCCCCGAAACCCTGGAGCGAACCCCAAACCCCAATCTGACTCCCAAATAAGGGCCCGGCAACACGCAGCCCTGTTTCTCTTTCTCTTTCTCTCTTTCTCTGTTGCATGTGTGTTCGTGATTCTGTGTTTGTTTGTCTGTCTGTCTGTCTTTGTGTTTTTGCGCTGCACGAGAGCAGCAAATGTTGAGAGCGCATGGGCTTCCGGAGGTCCTCTTCGTCAGCTCCGTGGGGCTCAGAAAGAAGTTGGAGGACAGGTGCAGGAGGCCTGGCGGCCTGTCAGTCTGCCGTCAGATGCAGGAGTTGGTTCAATTGCCGTTGCACGTTCGTTGGCTTCGATGTTTTGACGTTGTTGTCTCGGTTTGCTCGTTGGGGGCTTTTCGGAGCGGGTGCTTGGTTGTCAAGCTTCAGGGTTTTCGACCCTGTTATTTACGGCATCTACAGTTGACAAGCAGTGTATTTGGCATCTGTGGTTTCTCGGACCTCATGCTTGGCAACCGCAGGTTATTTTCATACTCAGCAGAATCACGTGCAGAAGAGTCCTTACCATCATCACAATCAGGCCTCCGGAATCATGCTCAGAGTCTGCATTTGATCCTCGGAGTTGTCGTACTGGTGTTGGTGGTGGCGGTGATGGTGGTGGTGGTGCTGCTGCTGCTGCTGTTGCTGCGGCTGCTGCTGCCGTCGCTGCAGGTGGTCGTGATAGCAACTTGCGCGGCATTTCTGCTGCAAGCCATGCCGCAGGCAGGGCTTCACATTCCGTCCACTCGAGGACGGAATGACCGAGGAGGAGGTCGCATCCATACATCCGGCAGCAGGACGGAGCATTCCTATCCCTGATCTGCTGTACATGAAGAGAACGCTGCTCTGCACGGCATCATTCCTCCCATGTCTGCTCTACCAGCGAAAAATTTTGCTTTCGTTTCGATGAGACGTCTCCTCCAGGCCCGACCTTCAAGGACTTCACAGAGAAGCACGGCCCGCTCCTCGCCGAACTCATCCGCGCCTCTCGGTCGAGGAGCGCAGATGACAGGAGAGACATGCAGAGTGCTCTAGTACTACTGGAGAAGTACGTTAAATGTTACTGTACTATAAAATATAAGTACAAGGGAAGAAAAGTAGCCCGTCAAGGTATATCACGACTTAGGACCTGGTTCAGTAGTTCCCAAGGGCTGTAAGCATTGTGGCCACAACTTCCCTAGGAAGCCACTTCCGAGGCAGAAGAGCCCATCGTCGTCGTGGCGGACTTCGCCAGTGGCGCTGGCCTCCTTCAGGCTCTGTGAGGGAAACGGTTTCGGGTTAGCGACGCCGTTGGTGACTCATGAGCTTTCGATTTCAGCAAGGGCCGCCAAGAAGAGCCTAGTGTACTGGAGGCTTTGTTCTAGTAGACCGAACATTCGGTGATGTTCCCGGTGTTGCTGTAATTAGGGGAAAGTGGGCGCATGGCCTCATCGCACCTGTGCTGCAGGCACCGAAGATGAAGGTGCCACTGGTCATCAATGTGCCGATGCCTGCCAGCTTACTGAAGCAACCTCGCTCAATTATATAAAGCACGCAAGCATCGAGAGAAGGCAAGACCGCCGCGGGTCGTAAACCACTCTGTGGGACACATTGAGGAATGTGCTCTTGCTGACCAACCCTTTCATCAGCGCTTTCGCGAGAAGATGGCACAGTGGGGCACTTCGTCTCTAATTTGGCGATGTTTCGTTGTGGAAAGCAGCCCTTCGCGTTATTATCTGACAGCATGTCTAGCAGGTTCGGTGCTAAGGGAGCAGGGCCCGGCCTTGGGTCTTGAGCTTCGGGCCAGCATCTGAACGAGCTCAGAAAATCTCTTTGACAGTTAACGTCTCCTGATCTCGCTTTTGCTGGCAAGTGGGGCCTTGGCAAAAGGAGAGCTCCCAGCCCGCACAAGGCGATTCTTCGGCTCTCGTAGCTGGTCCAGCAACACTCCAGCTTAGATTTCTTATGTATGACGGCCAACCATTCTCAGCATGCAGGAGTCCTGTTCAACGGGCTATCCATTCCTGTAGACCTCGGATGGCCGAAACCCTCGGGTTCAAATTCATCCCGCCAAAGCCAATGTTTGCATTCTCCCTTTCTTCCATTGCCACGTGTTTACAAGCGGTTGCGCAAGTGCGAGAAGCTTTTTTGGGAATAATGTTTCAAGCTTGACGACCAGCCAAACCCAAGGACAGGTTTGCCATCGAGTACCTGAGTAATATCGGGATGCCAGCAGTGAAGTCCGCGATCAGCAGCGTGCCGGTCAACAAGGAAAGCTAGGCCACTTAGACTCTGGCACTCCTCAGTTGAATGTCTACAGACAACCCAACCGGCTCCTTTCCAGCAGGCTAGGACCAGCTGAGGCATTGTGAACAGCTCGCCTGCTGTGGATCCTTGGCTTTGTATTCGCGGGCAGCTTTTTGAGAACAATCCCGTGTCTTGAGGCAACGCATTTGAAAGGACTGCTTACCCATTAGCGCGCAGAGTATCCCCTCGTCTGCTGCGCGGTGCTTGCTGTCAAGCGAAGAGGTCGAAACCACAGCCTTGTCCTGGTTCGCCATCATTCAAGTGCCCCTACAGTTGGCCTTGAACGAAAGGCGACATCGCACGATACAGGAACACACGCTAGCGCGAACACACACACACACACACACACACACATTTGCACTTGAGATCCCGCGGAGGAGCTAGTGCGTGTCGTAGAAGTGTTTGTCTTGAAGTGTGGTACAGACAAGACAAGAACCAGGTTTCCTCAATTTCTCTCTTTGCAGTGACACCCGGCGAAGAAGCCAAACGCCGCGAACTCTGCGACAACAGTCGGCTGCATGTGCAGCGCGGCACAGCTCCGCCTGCTGCTAGGTCTAGGTGTCACTACTGTAGCACGAACCTCACGAATGTTAGACTTGCGCTTCCTACTGGCTTCAAGAAGTTCGCTTGTTTCAGGTTCACTTTTATGTTTGTTAGCTCTTCGTTTTGACTGCCTTCGTCGATTCTTCGCAGCACACATGCCTTCGGGTTGATGAAGGACGCACATGCTACGTTCGTAAGTGCCGGAACCTGTCAGGAGCTGACGGGAAAGACATCACTGTGTGGGTGCCGCCGGCCGGCTCGCTCTGCAAGTGCCGGCTTGAAGCATCAGTTTGTGGCTTGCCTTTGTCTGTTGGCCATGTGTTAGCTAACCAACGCAGTAGTTGTATCCTCAAGAAACTCTTTCGGTGCAATGGCTACAGACAAAAACGGATGGACACCTGGCGAAAGGGGCAGAAAGAGAGAGCGAGAGAAAATTTTGCAGTGCTCAGGCGTGTCATTACTTTTCAGCCTGCTCCCTTATTTCAGTGCGTTTGGGCCCTTAAGATGTGCTGCAAAACTGAGCATGAGCCCATGCCCCCGCTGGCTTTACACATGGCATAGTAGTTCCTGCACCGTCGTTTTGTTTAAAGTACTGCTCTTTGTTGCTGCCCGTGTCATGCCATTCCACTAGTCTAGCCAGGCACGGGGAACAAACCTCGTACGCCCTTTCTTTTACCAAAGGCCCGGACCATGTGTCCTCAACTTTAGTTAGGGGGGTATTCACCTCTGTCATTTACTGCGCGTCCTCGTTGTGATTGAACTCAGTAGGGCCTGGGAATCCAGCTTCAAAGGGGAACAACCCCTACGATCGGCAATGCATTTCCAGATCGTTGACCCCCACCAACTTTATGCAATCTTCAGGTAAGTTCACGCCACTTAGGGCTCTCCGTCCTTTGGAATCCGGTTGCCGAGGGAAGCTGCGAAACACTGACACTCAGTGCCGATGGCACCTCTTGTAACACAAGCGTCCCGCAACAGTCGGGGGCGCGGACGCGCGCGCGGTGTAGGGGGTAAAGCCCCTACACCACAGCCCTGGCGAAAGAAAGAAATTCTGAACATTCCTCCCAAATGCCGCCCCTTTCATAAACACAGTCGGGGGAGTGGGCGGCCTAAACGCCGGAGGGACGGGCAACTAACCCCTAACCCCTAAGCCCGGCAGAAAGAAAGAAAGCCAGGGAGCTCAGGGATGGAGTGGGTCCCTGCCAGACATACACTCTCAAACATGCGGACCACGGGGCCGAAGTCCCATGCGAAAACACCCCAAAGCCTCCTCCCTCAACCTGTGAGGAAGGGGGGCGCCCAGCCTCTTGGAAGGAAGGGAAGCCAGGGAAGCAGGCAGGAATGCAGTCAGCCAGCTCTTGCAGCCAAGCTGTATCCCTTGATTCTCTTGGATGGTTTTAGGTTCCTCGAAGCTGAGGAACCCGTTTCCCTGCCACCGAACGTCTTCGTCTCCGGGCCGGGCCCTTTGCTTGAGAGACCATGGCTTAGGGCTTAGGATGGCTTAGGCTTTGTGACACCCGAAGGCCGGTCCGGTTGAGTGCAACACACTTGGCAACTTGATACGCAAAGCCAGCAGAGGCCTTTGGATGGCTTCACTCCGAAGCCACTGCTGGAAAAGGCAGCGAACCATGCGTATGTTTTGAGATTCTTGAAGTCACTTCATTGCAGATTGGAAAAGCTTTGTCTCCCTCTACTCTGGGTTTCGGGTTTACGTGATGTAAGCACCTTTGCATGTGATCGGAAAGCCTAGTTACTTAGTTGTGCCGGGCACACCAGGCACACCACACCCTACCGCATTGGTGATTTAGCTGCTGGATTTGGGGGGGCTGCCGAGCGGCTCCATCAGCTAGGGCCTTGTGGGTTCAGGGCTATACTTGATATCGGCGATGCTGTCTTAGGATTTAGGGTTGTACCGTAATTTTAGGCAGTTGGTGGGTCGGGTTTCAGCTTCGGGTGGATGTAGAACCATGATGTGCCGGGCCATGTTCCCAGGACAAGCAACTCTGCCAAGCCTCTGTTCTACATCACAACCGGGACTCTACTGGACCTGTCTGAGGCAGCGAGTGCGGGCATGATTTCAAGGACGCGAGTTGCCAAGTCCATTCGGCATGTTTGATATTTGCTGTTTCTAGCCGAGGGTTTGCTGCTGTTTTTGCTCGCACCAGTGCAAAGGCCCGTATGGCTCACGTCTCCCTGTGACAGTGAGCGTGAGCTCTCGTAAGACCTCCATCCGGAAAGCTTGCACTACAAGCACAGTCACCGGACACACGCCGTTGCGAGCAGACTCCAGTTCGAGCTGACGAAAGCAGCTGAAACATATCTTGAAGTTGACAGTTGAAGTAGAGAAGTCGGGCTTGAGCACATCATGTCCGACCGCACCAGCATGGATGGCACGACAGTTCTGCCACAATCAAGGATCATCACCACCTGTGCCTAGAATTTGCTATGTCAAATACACAACAAGTTTTCGACCAGATATCGGAGTTTTCAAGAACGTTCTGTGTCACACTGCAAAGTGGTTGTTCAAAGTGCCGAAAATGGCGAGGCTGTACGTTGATCGCCTGTACATTAGCAATAGCGCGCTGGCAGCGTAATGAGAACGCACCCGCGCACCAACTTGCTGCAGCAATCAGCCGAATACTGCAATCTGCAGGCTTTCTGCTGGGTATCGTGTGGACATGGCACAACAAACAGTTACGCAGATACGAAAACTTGCTAAAACGTGCTCGGAAGAATCTAGGGAGAATCTTGTGTCTATGACTTGCTTTACCTTGCGGCTGTCTGTCAGCTGTCAGAGCATAGGTAGCCGGCTACAGCAGATGCTACAAAGTCCGAATCCAAGCAACATTGTCTGCGGAGGCCCAGGTGCTGGCCCTCTACAATGGCTTTGCCTTGAGAGATGTGCGAGTGATCTGGTCTCTAAAGGCTGGGATGAGGTTGATGAGCGGATGCGCGTCAGGGGGCCTTGTTGAAGCCAGCTTGTATACGTTAAGCAATGAAGCCTAGTCCACCGTACGGGGTGCGGATTGATGCGGCATAGTGTAGTCTTGTATCGTACGCCAGAGTCCTGCTGGAATGAGTGGGTTTATAGAACCGCCCAGGGTGGACCCAATGCCCAAGCCCTATAGACTTTCAACTAAATCCAGAACCAGGTTCGGCATGTGGTTCCTGAAGCCAGGGGGCCTGCTGCACCACGAAGTGTGCGCTTCCCTTTCATTCTAGTTCCAGGGCTCGGTTGTGTGTGTGTGTCCTTTAAGGGTGAGCCCGTCCACGCCGCAAGAGCCGATTGAAGTGGCACTGAATGGGCAGCGCTAGTTTTGAAGCAACCCGAGAGTGGACTGAAGCTCTCTGCTGGCCTGCTGGCAACGCCCTCAGTTCACGCTGCGAGGAAAGCAAGCGAAGCTTCCTTCCAGAGTCTGTCTCCGAAAACTTTGTGATCCACCACTGGATGCCGCAAGTGGAGATCCTCTCCATTCCGGACCGCGGCATCTGCCACGTTGCTCGATGTGTAGTAGGATGGGAGCTAAGCCTAAGACTTATGACTTGTAAGACCTTTGATGATCGTGTTCCGAGTCTGCGAGGAGCTCACAGCTGTCTTGACCCACTGCGGATGGGGCGGCTCCCTCGAGTGCTTTGCCTTCGCAGCAGCTGGGGTCTGGCTGCCTGAGTCCTCACTATTCCCATCCTTAACTAACGGAGACCTTGGCTTCGAAGGATCAGGAGATGATCCTGGTGAACATGCTGCTGGATGGGTCGCATTGTGTGTCTGTAAGTCCGTGCAACCTATTTGTATAAGCGCATGAGAGCCGCTGACGGCTGGCAGGTTCGGTCCTTGGGAAGAATCCCACCTTTACACCCATGTCCATCCGGCGCCTCAGGTGCATGATGGCCGGTAAGCCGGTGATTTGCTTTCCTGGCTTTGGCGACCAAAAGCAAAATGCAGCTGGACGGCAGGTTCAGGTTTTGGAAATTGTGGCTTTGCTACGAAGAAATCTCAGAGGCTCGGTTGGGGCTTTGAAAAGTTCTGCGAAGTCACATGCTCATGCATCAAGGCATCGTCATTGTCATACAGGATAAGCGCATCTCAGGGTTGGAGCTGGGCGGGGGGGGCCTATGTAAGTCAGGCACGCATCCTCCTCCAGAAGGGCTGCGGCACGTTGCTCAAGCCTGCCACTCTGACAGCAGAGACCGTTGCAGATGCGGTGGACGATGCCGCCGGGCTTCATTATGCTGACAGTTGTTGTCGCAGCAGGACACCGGCTGCAAGCAAGCCCAAACAAAGGAGTTTCGCATCAGCTCAGGTACTGATGAAGCTGGAGACCTACAGGGAAAATGCCTGTGGCTGAGCATTGGGGCAATGAAGAGTCAGGTTGTAGATGTCTTTTCATGCCAGCAATGTTTTCGCGTGAGTGTGTATGTGTAGCGGCAGAAAACATGTCCTCCATGTGTCTATGTGGAGATACCTGGAGATGTACTCGATGAGCCAGTGTCATAGTAAACATCAGAGACCAGTCTTCCGGACTCCAGCTCTAGCACATCGGACCATAATGCAAGGCAAAGCCACAAGTTTTGATACTTGTAGCCGTGATCCATCTCATTCCAACTCAGTGCTTGACGTCGTGCAAGGCGAGGCGTGTTTCCGACGAGCTTCGGAAAAGCCCGGGCCCACAGGTGGACCACCGTAGGACTGTAGGACATCGGTTCCCTCAAGGCATCTTGCAGCATAATCAGCCCAAGCAGCCCGCAGCAGGCAGTGGTGGAAGTGATCGAGAAGGCTTCGAAGCAGGAGCCTCTCTCTGAAAATGAGGACTCCGCGCCAGCCACGCCGGCTTGCGTGGTCAGCTAAACCGCGCTTGGCGGCTGGGGCAGAGTTTCCTCACAAGGTTGCAAATGTTTCGAGTGTGCCCAGGGAATGCAAGCGCGCTGCTTTTTCGAAGTTACAGCTTGATTCTCCCACTCGGAGTGGCTTACCCGATTTTCGGGTCGGCGTGGAGCGAAAGTTGTACAGCAAACATTCAGTAACTTTCACAATGTCACAAAGCTGTAAACTACTGGAAGCCTGTAGTTATGTGGTCTTCATAGGCATGGTCACCTGATTATGCCTGATTCCCATGCAATTGGGTCAGCCACGTTGAATGCTCATTGTCTGCCTGCGCTGAGGGGCCAGGGGCGGAAGTGAGCCATGTTTGGGCTTTGTCAAGACTCTTCCAACTTTTGAACTTGCAGAGGCCCTAGCCTGTCAAGTTCTGCCACCCGACGCTTTTTGAGCGGCGCTGGCGGAGTGATCCCTCACTCAGTAGAGTTCCATCGTTTGCATTCAATTCGAAGAGCGTGCAATCAAGCCGAAAAATCTTGTGCTACCAGCAACAAGACCACCGCGGAAGGCTTTAGGTTTGCCCTGCCGCATCATTCTCAAGGGGTTCGGGCCATTGCCCAACTCTGAAAACCCCGAGAATCAGAATCAGGAAGGGCTGATCCATATAGGCTCAATCGTTTAGGGTAAGTCCGAGGCTAGCGGCCGATCCGACAGAAGAAGAGCTCCCGGTAGGTGATGTTTCCGGACAAGTACCCACAGACAACAAGTAGATGGTGTCTCCAACCAGGGCACCAACATCCACGTCTCGAAATCTGCGAGTTCCCCCAAGCTGAGGTTCTCGTCCCCTGCCACAACGCCGCGTGCTCGATTGCCCAGCGATGCCGACAACGTCACGCCGCCGAGGTGGGCTCTGCCTAGCCTATCACGGGTTCGAAGCCAAAGCCGTTGAACCTGCGAATGCCTGGACATCATGCTTTCTGCGTGCTGAGTCAATGTGTGCATGGCGGGATCCAGATTTTGGGCCAACTGACTTTCGGGCCGTCAGCTCGAGTATTCGACGGCTGGTCGCATGTCCATGGCTCTGTTCGCCACATCTTCCCATGTCGTTTCACTCATCTTGTAGTGCTGAAACCCAGGAGCTCCCCAGGAAGCAGCCTCACAGTATCAACAATGGAGCGCCACAGCTGCATGGTCCTTACTGCCAGCTCACTTTCGGCGCGGGCGCGGAAGATCTATCCACCCATCCAGCCAGCCAGGCAGCTACTAGTACCTGCTTATCTATGAATCTATCTATCGTGCAATCTGTCATTTTCGGTTTATCGATTACCGATCTATCGATCTGTCTATCCGGCTTCTATTCTACCGGGCAGATGAAAACTCGTGTCTGTACATACATATGGATGATTTTTCCCAGGATTCATATACACACATATACATATACATATAATTATATATAGATATTTTTATATGAATATGTTTACTTGTTTTTCATTCATATATACACATAATTGTAGCATCTAGACCATACTTATGCATTACAAATTCTCGTCTGGTATGTGTGCAATTCTGTAATTAGTAGTTTGATCTATTTGCTGGTATGCACAGATGCACATATGTATGTGTATGTGTGTATGCATATGTACATGTATGTTTGCTAGTTAATGTTTTCGCATATGCAGGTGTCCATATGTATGCACAAGTTAGTATAAATACATACATACGTATGTATGTATATACCTACATACATGCACATGTATGTGCATATATCTTGTCGAGTGCGAGTGGCACAAATGGGTGTATATACATATGTATGCACATGCATCTAGAAGAACATACATACACACATGTGTATATACATATGTATATATATATATATATATATATATACATATATACATGTATACATACATAAATACATACATACAGGCAGGCAGGCATGCATGCGTACACACACGCACAGAGACGTATAGCATACGTGTGTGTATGTGAAAGGTATGCACCTGCCTAAGGAACGAGGACCGCGAGAAGGCTCGGCCATCACTGTCTCGCGATGCAACGCGGAGGATTGCATGGTCGGCACCGGAGCAGAACTTCAGTTGGGGAGTTGCTCAGACACAGCCGCACAGAATTCGTAAGAGCTGGCATCGAAGCGTTCGCTGGGAATCAAGCCAAGGAAAGCTGGCTGTCACAAGCGACACGAAAGCAGCTTGGAGCTTAGATTGCCGTGATGATGAGCCTTGTCTGCAGGGATCCAGGCTACTAAGATCTCAACATGGGAACAAAGGCTGCCTGCCGCCAAGACGATCAAGTGGGCGTGGTCAGACCTTGCGACGCGCAGGGAGTCCTCCGCGTCCTGCTTGGATTGATGCATAGCTGCGCCGGGCCAAACCCTGGATTCCTAATTAGCTTGTCCGAGCTGCAGAGTGCAGTTAGATAATACAGCCCCAAACCTCGCCTGACGTTGCTGAGCTGCGAGTGCTGAAGTGAGTTAGATGGTACAGGCACTGTCTTCAGACTCCAGGTATTCCGGACGTGATTAGACACGCTGCCCATCAACCCCATGTTCAACGATAGTTTGCACTGGTCAATGAAGCCGAGACTACGGCATACACGGCATTTGAGCACGATGCCTGAGCCCATCCAATCTCTTGCAACGAGGAAGTTGCTGTCGCCCAGCATTCGGAGCATATTTCGCAGTTGCAATCTACAGTCTATAGGCACCACACGAATCCGATGGTTCCAGGGGGGGCCTGGTGCAGTTCCTTTTCAAGGCTGTCGTCCTTTCGCATCGGCACAGTCGAAATGTTGCTTCAGGAGGGATTCGCGATACAACAGAAACTTTCGTGCAGGTCACTTCAAACTGTTCTGCTGCTTAGCTGAGCGGAATCCCTCGGAAGCTTTCACTTTGAAGTAGCTTAGGAATCTGTAGTGTAGTGTAGGAGTAGTATAGGAAACCGCTGTACCCGGCACCAAGCATGTGCTGTGGGCCACAGCCAAGTAGGTACTGCATAGGCTTGAGATTGAAGCCGGATCAGGCAGCTGCTTGGCAAAGCTCCAGGCAAAGACAGCAACAAGGACGTTCATGAATCCAGTTCTGCCGTGCTTGCCGCACCCGCAGGCAAAGGTCGATGGTGACGGATGTATGGCAAAGATGAGCTAGGCTAGGACACGCGAAAGAATCTCTATCACGCAAGGAAAGCCTTCATGTCCCAGTGCTACGTAACTTCTCCAATCTTGAAGCAGCGGCCAACGACTTGTTTCCATCCCTGCGATTGCAAAGCGGCCCCAAGAGGTACACGGATGCATGCAAATTTCACACGCGATTCGTGGCTTTTCTGATGACAAAGCTGCGGTTCCGCAGTGGCAAGTGCCACCCTCTGCTGCCTCGAGCCCGCAGGCATGTTCCACAGAGATGGGGTCCCATGCTCCTTTGCAGGATGGCTGTGAAACTAAGCTGCTACTGGCAAACGGCAGAACTCCAGGAGCCAATCGCGGACTCGGGTCTACAGTGTAGACTCAGTATATAGACGCGAATCCGGCCCCTCACGGGGTGGGAATGCCAAGGGCAAATCCAAGCGGCTCACCGTTTCAGACCCAACAATTTGCCCTTCGCATTGCCATTTTCACAGCGTTCCTCTACAGCCTGTTTCAGACTGGACGTTGTTCCGGATTTGCATCATATGGTCAGTGAATGTCAGTGACAAAAGTGGAGAGCTTGGATGGTGTTTGAGTCCCTGAGCAGGAGAACGTGTTGTTCGGCCAGTCTTTTGAGCAACTTCGCTTCGGGCTCAGACGGGAAAAGCACTGCTCCTTGCTTTGGATTTCTCGGTCCTGCAGGTGGCAAATGTTGAATCAGGATCTGGGATCATTTTGATGACATCGAGAGTGCTTTGTCAGGTTATGAAGAAGCGCTGCAAGCAGCGTCGTTGGGCGAGGATCTCAACGTCCTCCCAGGCGAGACTTGCTTGTCAGTGGATCTCCATCTTTGCCAACTGGCATTCGGTTCAAGCTCGCAGGAGGCCTCATCTGGTGAGAACTGCACGTTTGTTGATCGTGCAGGTGGTGATCAGGTTCCCATCGGCGCCCGTGGGATTTCCTTGTCTGGCGGCCAGAAAGCAAGGGTGGCAGCCTTGATCGTTCGCACTGCACCTTGCCTAGTCGTGGTGGTATTGATCCCCGGAGAGCCAGCCTTGCTCAGTGTAGTATATCGCACCTGAGCGACAGGGAGACGTAGAGACTTACCACGTCCTGCCTTGCGCGCCGGAAGGTCTCCATGGCCCGTGCCGCCTACCACCTGAATTCACAGCGATATCCTTGGAATGACCGCGAACGTGAGCGGATTAGGTAGCCAATCTTCAAATCGTCGCTCAAGAGTTTCTTAGTCGGCATCCAGGAATTTCTGCGTCTTGTCTCTTGAGCAGCTTGCGGATGAAGTTCCCAGAAATTCGGCTCGAACTACATTCGTCATAATGAGCGTGTGCTCCTCCATGCGAGCACGGACTCATATGGGGGCTATGCGGTCTACATCTGATTCAAAACAACGTGCCCTGCATGAGGCTAGTCTTGATGGATGACCCCTTTGCATCCGTGGATGCGTCTGGCTCCCGGCTAGGCTCACTTCAGAATGCCGCCGACAAAGCTACAACGCTTGCAACCATGGTGCGAGCAGCTGCAACCTCTGGACCGACAGTTGCGACGAGGCCAACGGCCAAAGTCATCATGGAGAAGCTGCTGCTTGGAAGGCTCATGGAAGGCAGGTCGTTGCTTTTTCAGTGTTCGTGCTTTGAGCTGTTCGGAGAACGAACTCTCCTGTCATACGCATCGGCCTCAGTATGGGTTCAAAAAAGCTGGGGCTTTGGATTCGTATTCTGGAGTTGGGCTGGGGCACGACCGAGTTTTGAACCAAGTTGCCAGCAGAGACATTGAATGAATGAGCCTTTTGTGCATTTTTGGGTCTGCCAGGTAGAACTTGCGTCGTGGCTCGTGCCCCAGGGAGCAGTGTTGAGACTTGTGCTTGAGTTTCTGTCGGCTTGTGGGCTGTTGTTTTCACCACTCCTTTCGGCGGCGCAGCTGCCTGAGCCTTGTGTTTCAACTCGGGAATTTGCTTCATGCGCTGCACTCTGCCGAAGCTGCCAAGAAGGGCAAGTAGACGCTGGCTCAAGCGGGCCTTGTGTATTTGTGCTTTGAGATGGCTCGGCAAAACTGCGACCTGGAAATTGTTTCAGCTGAGGCCACGCAGCCCGATGTCGAGCGTCTTAGCAAGTTTCACAGTGTAGCCGCGACCTGAGTGGAAGCCAAATCGACGGAGTCTCCACAGTTCACAGTCCCAGGCAGGGGCCCCCCAAGCTCCTCCAGCGCATACTAGTAGCTGCCCGGGCACTCTCGTCTCACGCATTTGCTCAAGATCTGTCGATGTGTGGCACAGACAGACTTGTCAGGTTTCGATTATTCGAGTATGGATCAGGTGCCGTAGTCAAGTGCTGTAGTCAGCTAGTTGCCGCTGCTTATGCGAGATTTCCGCAGTTCTTAGATAGAAATGTGGCTGAACAGGCATTGGCCAGCATACCCTCGTGCTCCTTGCTTGCGCAAGCCTGCTAGGCTTCGGAAGTATCTGAGTACCCAATCAGACCAGTTGCTGCCTTCTACGGCTTCGGTATACTCCGCTGCAGCTTTTTACTCCCTGCTCGCCGAGTATCACATCGAGTGACAAAGTGCTGCTGGAGTCAGGTGTTGATGGCCGAAGGGAAGGCCGGCTTCGCAGACGATGCTCAAGATACGATAGGCGGAAGGTTATCCCGATCCATTTTGCAAGCCGGCGAAAGAGTTCGAAGCTTGGCCGACAGAGGCCTGCAGCCTTTTTGGCCTGTGCAGGTCGTGCTCCAAGGCGATCCAGAAACAGCCGGGCTCTCGGTCCGACCTGGCCTTGGTGCATCTGTATGACTAGACATGACTCGAGGTCATGGCCAGCGAGGCCCCGTCCTGCGAACTAGACTCAGACTTAGTTTCAGCTTCTATCGTAAGGATAGTGATATACGGTGGAGATATATAGGTGTTGTCGCGAGGCACTGTCTGTGCGTAGCCTTGGATGTTGTCATGCCAAACATGTGATGGCTCTTTGACTTGATTTTCGCGCAAGGCGGAACTGCAATGGATTCTAACCAGCAGCCAAAATCCTTCAACTTCAAGTTCCACTAGACGGTCGCATGGCTTTTGCCGGTTGGTTTGTATTTCCCTCAGAGGGTCACCATTCGGAATCCATAGGTGCAGACTTACAAGGTCACCTGAGCAGCAGTTCGTCCCGTACCGGAAGCACCGGCTGCCACGGCAGGCCTTCCAGATGCTGCTTAGCAGCCGCGAGGGCGAGTCCTTCACAGCGCAGGAGGATGCAGAGCCTGGGTCCAAATCCCGTGCGGAAGACTTTGACTCTAGGGGATTCGATGGGATTCAATGTCGTAGCTTCGCTCCCACGGCCCGTTTGTGCCGCCAAGCACCGCACCGAGTCCAGACATCTTTACAGGTTCACTGGTTCACCGAAGTATTCAGGAATTGTTTGCGCAATGCAAACACTAGCTTGGGGACCGCTAGGCCTAACGATTCTAGTAAGGATTTGCGTGTGTTGCTTTTGTGCCTCTAGTCCTGAAGGCAAAAGGAGAAGAGGAGGAGTGGCATTGGCATGCCGAGACCAGGACCATGCAGCGTTGAGCTCAGGCCAAAAGTGAAGCGAAAAGCTTCAAAAAGCCGCGAGCAGCCGCGGCCCTGGAAAAGAGGGGGGGGGAATCTTGAAAGTAGGCATGCGCATGCTGAGCAAGTATGCTGATACGCCGTACGATGGTGTACGCGACCTCAATCGCTTTGCGGAGCTGCAGCCTGCGACGGCCTAGGGCAGAATCTCTGCGCGAAGAAGAATTTGAAGGGCGGCCCTCGGTGTGGGTTCCCAGGAACTGATGCTATTGCTTGTTGGTTTGGATTTTGATGCCCCAGAGACAATGACACCTGGAGTCGAGCATAGCCGTAGTGCACTCGGAGAATCCAACGACCCGGCCACAGCAGTTTCCGAGATCGCGCTGGTGAAAGACTACGCACAGATTGGCCGATACCGCCACTTGTTTTCCGCCTGACCCTCAGAAAGAAGAGCTACACTACTTGTGACTTGTGACCGACCTCCAGCATGTGAAGTGTTCTCTCTCTCTTGGCTGCCCATTGTCAGAAGTGCACCTTCTGCAAATCTGAGTGAAGTTTCGTTGCCCATGGCATGCATGCGTGCACAAGGCGTGCCTTTTGCTGGCCGTAATGGTCTACGTTTTCCTCCTCTGCGACTTAGCCGCGGGCCTCAGCTGGCATCGAGAAGTCACGACTTGGCTTGCCATCCTTGCTGTAGGCTCCTCCACAGAAAACGTTTGCAATATCGGTTATTGAGTCGGAAGGTATGCCTTTTGCCAATGTGTGAAGTCTTGCTCGTCTGGCACAAAAGCATAAGCTTCGTCCGTGAAGTTATCGAAGCCATGTCCCGAGAACTCCAATACAGCTCCACGATGCAGCTGCGACTACGAATGAGTCTTCAAGCTGCCATCTCCTGCTCACAAACAAGGTTATAGCACATTGGTCGAACGAGCTGGCCCTCAATCCCACAGCCGGAAGCTGAGCTGGTGCTTTTGTGTGTATGTGTGCGTGCCTCTCTCGAGCAAGCGTGAGGCCAGCTCGCGCCCGTACCTGACGGCTTACATGCTGGGACCCAAAACCCATCTAGTTCTCTAATTGAAAGTTGGACTTGCGGTTTGAGAGGTGCATGCGGGTGGGGCGTCGGGTAGGAGTGCTTCGAGTGCTACTACTCGTGCAAGTGGCCATGTTTGGCGGACGGTAGTTCTCGCATGCCACATGAACTCATTCGCGGCTTGCGAGATTTTCTTGTGTGCTCCCAAGGTTTTGGCTACTGCTTTCGCTGGTGTTCTTCGTGTTCGGATGGCACCAGGGCCAGTCAGGGTCTCGGCCGATCAGTTTACTTCCAAGGAGTGACTCGCACCACTGTCGCGACAATCTCTAATCACGACGAGGGCCAACCATGATGACGCAGGAAGGCCATGCTGCACAGACTGCGATCAGGACGTTCACCATGCGCCTGTCCGCCGCAATCCACAACCGAGTGATCCACAAGCCAGGGACCCAAGCGAGAGCCACGCTGGACTTTCAAATTCGTGCTTTGGAGCCAGAATCATGGGGAGAGAAATGGATAGCTTCCTTTGGCTGTGTGGAAGAAGCGAAAACGGGTTGGGGGTCTTTAGGTCTTAGTGGTTTTGGAAGAAGGCCGGTGAGTCAGTTCTCTTCAGCTTGATTGTGTCATTCCAGCCTCCACCTTCTCAGTGGGCGGAGTGGAAGAAGAAGAGAGAAACAGTAGACTTGAAAGGCATGTTGGTGCCAGGTTGCAGGTGCGCGGTCGGTGCAGGCATGTTAGCCTTCAGAGACAGCCATGCAAGTCGCGATGCAGTAGGAAGTGCACTCGAGACGCGGCTGAGCGGGATCCAAACTTGCATACATGTTTTGAGGGATCCCGCGCAACTTCAATGCAGAGACGAGCCATGTACGCAGCTTGAGAGGTGCAAAAAGCAGGATCGTGTAGTATGATTTGTATGTGAATATTTTGGATGCTTCCTGTGACTCGAATTTCCTCGTTGCACTTGCTGAGCATAGCCTGCTGCTTGAAGGGTGGCTTGCTCTTGTTGTTTTCGTGAGGGGCCTGAAGGGCTTTAACCTCATGCGTTGCCTGGCGCTGCTAGACTCTGGATGCAACGACAGAGAGAGCTTTCGGAGGAGGGGATGGCACTGTTCTGCACCTTCAACCCCCAGGCTAAGGAGCCACCACTGCCGGTTCCTAGCCGAAAACGGGGGGAGAGTTCCCTGTATAGCCGAGCCGCTCTGAACGATGTTTCGGAGGGGAAGCAGACCATCCGCGAACTGCGGGTGTGCGGTGCGCACGGGGGGATGGCCCAGGACGCTGGCCTGAACCCCAAGCCCGGTAGAGAGAGAGAGAGAGAGAGACTTGCTGAGTACAGATCCTGCGAGATGGCCGCGAAGGGGCAAACCGGGACCTTTAGAAAGGAATGACGAAGGGGGACAGTGTTTTGCTGAAGCCCTGCTTAGCATGATGTTTTTGGGCTGTTATGCTGAAGAAGTGTTCTCGTTTACGCTTTCCTTTCCCTTTAGTGACTTTAGTGGGCCAGTAAGCCTAAGTTCCCTTGCTTCCAAACTGACCACTCCAAAACGGGGTGCGCTTGACTCGCTTGATGCAGGGGAGGGGGGTGACCCTTCCTCACGCCCTTAGAGAGAGCGAGAGAGAGGGGGATAGAGAGATAGAGATAGACACTGTTTCTAGTCAGTTTTGGTGCTGGAGGCTCCTTCGAGCACCCATCGACCGCTTCTTTGACAAGCAGCCTGTGGGTCGCATCATGAGCCGCCTGGTGGGTGACTTGTGCCTCGGCTCGCCAACCGCTGCCACCGCATAATCTAGGACGCCCGTGGTAAAACCTACTACTACACGCGGAGGGTGTTGGTAAGGGGCACGACACAGGTTAATGTGCTGGAGGAATTTCGCAGTGTTTCCGTTTCACAAGCACAAGCACATCTAGAATCAAGTGCATGTGCTTTCAACTCCCCGAGGGCAAGCGTCGATTTGTCCCTCTATGCGAAGACGCTGCAGACGGTCACGACCATCCTTGCTACAATCACCCCCCTGCTCTACGTGGATGCCCCGGTGTGCAGAAGTGTACGGTCATCACTGCCGTGCAAGTCGTCCGAAATGTGGGGTGAAGGAAGAATCATTTCTCGATTCACTGGTACTGCAGGCGGCATTAGTCATGCTTCCGTGTTGGGCTGCAAGCAGCTTTGTCGTAACTGCTTGCATGAAGCGCTCCATGTACGTAAGGCCTTTGAGGGGCAGGGAGAGTTCTGTCATGAAAGCGTGTGGGCAAAGAGGTGCACACCATGGTCCCCATGCTCATTTCAGTGATGCGGGGAGCTTAAACACTTGTTTGCATCAGCGCGGCGGTCGCCGCATGGAGTGCATTCTAAGCTCTTAAGACTCATGGTGAACGTCTTGATGCTGGGGACTTTCCCAACCCGAGAACCCCTGCACCGTAATTGAATAACACTGGTTAATCGACAGTTTGTCAGGACATCTAGTGGCAAAGGCAGCTCTCAGTGTCGAGTTTTCGTTTGTTCCGTTCCTGCCTTCAGCAGCGCTTGAGTCGAGAGAGGTGAGCCGGAACAAAGTCCGAAACTGCTGGCTTTGAAGGGCACTGCTTCTACTTGTCAGGCGTTCCTCATTATCTTTGCACTCTTGCCTCCTACATGTAGCCAACCACGCCTCGCAAAAAAAAAGCGAACATGCCAGGTTCTTGAACCACTCATGCACAACTAGGCACATGCTAGTGACATCCACAACACGCATGCAAGCTCAACTCTTCTCTCTGCTCCCTACTTCCAATCACCAAAGGGCGCTGCCGCTCTACTACGTGATCTTTGCCATCTACACACGGTACCGGAACACTTCGGTGTGAGGAACTCAGCTCGTCAGGCACCGCATCTGAGTTTGGGGTCTTGGGTTCTATAGTTCATTGAAGAAGCCGCCCGTGACAGCGATGGTGACAAGGTAGCCATGCCAATCGTGCACCACGGTCCAAGGCCTATGCGATATTGTTTTGCGAGCACGAAGTCAGTCGCGTGCTCAGCCCTTCCGAGTAGGCACAAATCAGAGCCAGAGCTTCGTTAGCACGCTTATCGGAATAACGGCATGGAAAACTCTCTCTCAGGATATGAACGGCTTGCTCACCGACGTAATGTCCAGCACTGCCAGCCTCGCAGTCGGGGTGTGACTTTGGAGCTTTGCTTCAGTTGGCACGCTTGCCTCCCCACTACTACCGCTCTGCTACTCCTGCTCCTACTCCTGCGGCTACGACGACGACCGACGACGACTACCACCACTACCAGGCGTGCCAGGAGGGTGACACAACCACCGGCAACCGCCACCACGGCCATCACTGCCACTGCTGCTGCCACCACTACTGCTACTGCCACGGCCACTTCCACTGCCACCACTACAACTACTACTGATTACTAGTACTGGTGGTGGGGAAGTTGGTAGTTGTCGTGACAGTCGCAGTCGTGGTGGTGGTGGTGGTGGTGGTGGTGGTGGTGGTGGTGGTGGTGGTGGTGGCGGTGGTGGTGGTGGTGTTGGTGGTGTTGGTGGTGATGGTGGTGGTTGGAGCAGCACCAGCAGTAATAGTGGTACTAGTAGTAGTAGTAGTCGTCGTCGTCCTCGTAGTAGTAGTTTCTGCCGGTACTGCTGCCGCTGTTGCTGCTGCTCCTGTAATCGACTTTGATGTCGTCGTCGTCGTCGTCGTCGTCGCCGTCGGAGCTGTTGTAGCAGATAGTCGGTATCCGTAGTGGTGGTACGAGGAGCAGTCTCAGAGTTCTTCCTCTCCTTGCCTAGTGCGACGACGAGTTGTTGCGACTTGGGCTTCGCGCACATGCCCGACAGCGACAGGCTGCAACAGATGAACATAGTAATGAGAAAGACTATAGAAATTCTTCATCAGCGTTCAGCCACCGTGTTGTGACACAGAGGGCGATCTGTACTGACAGGCAGCTATCCGCGCCTACGGAGACGAGGAGCGGCTCTCCAAAGAGATGCCTGGGGCTCGCAGACATCTCGGCACCCATATTGTATTGTACCAAGCATACAGACAGAAGCGTCCTGCTCAACCAATATTGCTCTGGTGACAACTTGCCACCATGACAACTCGCATAATCTCACTTTGCCGTAAGATTCCAGGTGCATGCAAATGGACAAGACGCTCAAGGCTCACTTCCTCGAGGGCACAGCCTATTTAGTCACCTCGCTTGAGTCGGACGGATACTGGCACAGGTGTGCATGATGAGTCACAACGTGCTGAGACGTTGGCTGGGAAACCGTGTACAGTACTTGTCGGTACCTCAGAATGCGGACGTCCTCCAGTCTCTTGCGCAGCCCCGTAGACACGGAAGCCAGCGAACGCCCACGGGTCTCTCTACAAGTCCCAGATGCTGCAATGACCCAGGTGGGGCTTCCTGACCAGCACAACCTATGTGGCTCCAGCCCTGGTGTGGTGCGGTGATCAGCAGCATATCATGTACTCGCTATATCTCTAGCAGCTAGCACCAGCGCCTTGAGTCTGCCATGGCCTACAAGCATGCTTTCCAGTGCAGGCTGGACTGCTGTATCCCGACAAAGTTGGCGCAGGGACACTGGGTGTTTGCTTGGAGCTGAGCAGGCTCAGGTGTAAGCTCCCCTTTCATTTCTTGCCAGACTGGCCGAAGCTCTGCATTTGACATGTCGGCCTGTTGGAGCGTTACATCCTTCGAGCTGCTCCGAGGCATAACCAACCTATTGATGATGCAAAACTTGATCGAGAGCAACATCGACAGCATCCAGCTTGCACTCTGGGTTTCTGAGGGTCTCTTGTTTAGATGTGGCTTCGTCATGCGACTTGCAGGTTGTCGATAGATGCCAGGGCTGTGCCGAGGTATCTAGTTTGGCTATCTGCACGAATCAGCTTGTCGCAGCACAATCGATGTGCTACGGTTGACGATATATATATATATATATATCCTGCATTACCCATAATAAGGAATATACCATAATTCCCATAGTTTAGGGCCCTTGAGGTAATGCAGGATTTACATCATCAACCGTAGTAGTCATGGTAACAACGGCAGTATTGGAAGCAGCGCATGCGAACTGTACAGTGTAACAGCTGCTTGATAGCCGTTCCATTGCAGCCAGCAGGCATTGTCAGATACGCGCTAGCTAGTCGAGCATTCACAGCGCTGACCTTGTCACCATAGGTGCCATCGGGTCGCTCTTCGAGATCATTGCCCTTGTCGCTCTTCCGCATTGCTGGCGTTTGCAGCTGGTATCGTGCTTCGATGCCTAACAAACAGCAGTGCAGTTGGAGGTGAGATGCAGCCGGCAGTCCTCCAGAGTTCGAAATATTTAGTGATTTGCATTGGCTGAGTCCAAGTGATCCGGTGGTGTTAAAGATGAAAGAGCAGGCGAGGATCCATGAATACGTGGATGCGGGACGCTCAGTGCTTTCTTTGCTGAATGTTTTCCAGCAGGCCGCAGACCCAGTGGTTGAAGTGGTCCTGTTTGGAACGAGTCTTGCGCATCTGAGCGTACTTTCAAGTTCCTGAAAACTTGACGGGCATCGTGCTTGTTGAGAAACGTTGGGCTTGTAGGCCGGCAGCAGCACAACAAAGTCGAAGGAGATGCTGACACCACCGACTGCAAGGGGAAGCGAGCGATCGATACGCAAAACTCGCTGCGTGCAGGCACAACGTGTGAAGATGCAATCCTCTCGAGCATGTGAAGATGAGTTGTGATGCTGCAGGAGACGCGTTGATGGCAATTCTTGCGACCTGCTACACGTAGTACTCTCCAGCGCCGCCACGCGAATCTTGTGCACGTCGGGCTGGTGGGTCGGTATTCATCTGACAATGGAGGCAGACATGAATATGAGTGTCGCTGCGAGGGCGCCAGTGCTTGTTAAGCAATAGAGCGTGCTTCAGGTGCCGCAAGAGAGATGCTTGACAAGCGTGGCACTTGAGATGGGAGAATGCGAGTAATTTCGGTTGCGAGTATTGAATAGTGTTTGCTATAGCCTTGCATGGGGCAGCTTGAACACTACAAACAAGCTACCATGGCATGCTTGCTCGCTGCATGATGAGCCCAGGTAACACTGATGCTGCGTGCTGGCCTCAGACCATGAAGCCCGAACAGGCATCTGCTCACGGCTTTCTGTGGAAATCGCAGACGTACTTGTTATTTCGTGTCGATTCTATTTTTGAAGGCTGCACAGGCTGTGATTTGCGTGGCTCTGGGAAAATCACGAAGGGACTCCTGAGTGGGTCAGCAACGCTTGTGGTGGATTCACGCAGGTACCGCAGCTTTACAGTGCGAGTTCCCCGAAGCGCCGCCATCTCAGAGAGTGCACGGAGCTTGCAACAAGTGCTCTGCAAAAGGCCACACGGCCAAACCCATCGGTTGAGACAGTTCCCAAGCCTGATGGACGCGGAGGGACGGATGTTGAGGGGAGCCCCAGGCCTTGGGTGTGTTGAAGTGGTGGCGCCATGGCGAGATTGTGCAGGTCTTCCGAGGTGGGATCGGGAGCCCGTTGTCGTGCCAGCTATGTAATGTCTCACGGCCTGCATTTCTTTCTTCCAACCCCAGTCTTGGGAGAATTTTCGGCACTGAAACATCCCGGCAACCGTCAAGCAAAACGGGAGTAGAGCTCAAGCTGACCTGTGTCGCTTTTCACTAGCTTTGGGTCAAGTGCATACTAGTGACTTATCGTTTGAAAGGGCTTGCGAATACTTGCCACGACATTGACCTGAGTTAGCCTGCCGCCAAGTGTGATGGCTGTTTAGCCGTCAGCAACAGTCAACACCGAGACCGTGGAACCTGGCCGTTCATGCAATAGGACATCATCAGAGGACATCGTACGGCGTTTTCCATGTTGCATGATCCAAAATAGTTGGTGCATATCTTGGTACAAATCAGCAGTTCCTGAGCTCCGTTGCCTAAGAGATCTGCAGGTGGAAAGCTATTGTTGCAGTCCTCTGCAGACAACAAGGACGTGGGCTCAGACTGAGGGTGAAACTCCAGGTCCAGATCTGTATTCTAAGATAGTAGCACCTTGTCGTGCCTGAGCAGCCATGTCCACATACATTTGCACCTGCACATGTTTAACATCTGCAGGTGCATGTGTGTAGCGTAGGCAATGTAATGTGATGTCATGTTATGTTATGTCGTATAATGTAATGCAATGTAAAGTAACGTAAATGCATGCATGCATGCATGCATGCATGCATGCATGCATGAACGGGTGTGTATGATGTCTTTGTCATAAAGGTGCGTGAAGGCTATCTGCTATCCATGTTACGCACATATATATATATATATGTGTGTGTGTGTACATATATATATATATGTGTATATATACATATATGCATGATATGTACATTGTGTATGGCCTGTATGGCTAGCATGTAATAATGTAATATTTGTGACATGTGTCATGTGTGTGGAATTGCATGCATGCACACATGCATGCATGGATGTTCGTACGTTTGCTGTGTATCGAATGATCGCGCATTCTGCGAAAGTAGCATGTAGCTTGCATGCAGCATACCGCAATACGAACACGCAGGCAGGGATCTACAAGCGAGGGAACTCACAAAGCTGATTCGATGGAGAGCAGTCGTCGGTGGCTTGAGTGCAAGCATGCAGACGTACATGCCCAGATGTCGATGAGAACCTGCACTCCCAACAACGTCGATGTTGTGGCACGTCCTCGGAATTGGATTTGACCGAAGATGCAGGCTTTACTGCCAGCGGCTGCCTTCGAAAAAGAGGCATCGACTGGCTTTTGCGGCAAGGATTTATCATGAACTGCGCCATAGGCTGCATGCGTATTCAAGTACACACAGGCGAATCGCACCAAATCCTTCTAAGGTTCTGCTCCATTGCACTAATTGCTCAAGCTGTGGACATGCGCCTTAACTTTCAATCACCATGGGGAACGGTGAACCCACCTGATGCCTGCATGTGTCAAGGCTTAGAATTATCGTGTGCAGGGCTCCCAGCTGCACGACCTTTGCCTTCAGAATGCAAGACTACGCGAGGCACACGCCTGGTGCAGAGCCCAGAACATGGGTTCAGAGACTGCTGCTACTACTACTACTACTACTACTACTACTACTACTCCTGCTACTACTACTACTACTACTACTACTACTACTACTACTACTGCTACTGCTACTGCTGCTACTACTACTACTTCTACTACGACAGCGATTCCTGCTCCTATTGCTACCACGGCTGCTGCTCTTGCATTTTTGCTCTCATCAGCCGCTCCGCCGGTTCGTCTCATTAGACAGGTTGTGCAGGTCACTGGTACATCTAAACTCGTCAGCGCAGCTGGCACGTGACTTCAGGCACCGGCTCATTGGGGTCAGTGATGTTGTTGGCGATGCAGAGCAGATGGCGCCCGGAGCTTACAAACCTTGAGCTCAAAACACCGCAGCACTTTCAGCTGTCCAACACGGCGGCATACAACTCCACGGTAAAAAAGAGTGTTGAGAGTCGAAGGCCTAAAAGAGCTGAAGAATGCGCCCTCCGCAGTCGCACGACTGCTTGGTATAGTGTGGTCTTCCTGTTGGCTAAGCAGACCTGTGCCGACAAATGATTGCGATGCAATTGGGGCTTGAATCTGCACCAATGCAGGCGTGAGCTTTGCGGCGAAGGCACGGCTTTTGGGAGTTGTCTTGCTGTGCACTGCATGCTTCGATTGGACATGTTCTTGCACGGCGTGGGTGTGCAGAACAGGCATCAGGGCCCAAACGGTCACCTGTGAACTCAGTTGGCCCAACTGCACATCTCGTCTCGGCACCTGCACATTCACTAATGCCTTCAATGAACAAATCACGCTTGCCTGCCAATTTTGGATTGCAAGGAGCTCGCAGCCCTGACGTGGTGCTGGACGTGTCCGGTCGCTGAAGTTGTTGGGAGTGAAGGGACAGCGAGAGCGATTTGCTTTTCTTTAGCGTGGCCGCAGTATACATTCCTCCCAGAAGAGTTACAATCTCCTCGGCACTGAGACTACAAGTCGGCTTGCCTAAGAAGGCACGGAGTAGACAGAGGTTGTTTGTAGTTTTTCAGGAACCTGCTTCGAGTCGGAGCCTTCTAAAACATGGCAAAGGTCGCTGCTTCCCGTCAGCACTGACCGTATAACAGACAAACTCGAGCCGGCTGCAAGACTGGATGACAGTAGAGAACAGGCCGAGAAATTCATCCAACGGATTCACTTGCCGACATGAAGTTTTTGCTTCAGGCGCAGTGGCTGGGTCGCAGATGGTGCAAAGGTCGAGCTGGAGAATGCCCGGGAGCCGAGCAAGGGAATCGGCGAACTAGGCGTGGCAGAGGACGTATCATGCCTCAATCTCCTTGTGCGGAAGTGCTCGCAGACCATCATTTCTACTCCCATGGCTTACTGCTACATAGCTCTGCAAATATCAGGTGAAGGCTGGCTATGCCGACATTCCTCGAGATGTGCTCAAGGGAATTAACCTTGTGTTCCAGTCCGTGCCTCAACAGAAATGATTCGCTAAGCCTTTACAGATCGCCTGCCTTAACCTGGCTTCCTGGCCTCTTTACCGGCATCTGCGGGGCGTCAGGACTCGTCAAAGAACCACCGAAGAGCCGGAGACATGCCTGAGATTGCTTGAGGCCCAAGACCAAAGTCGGTATTGTGGGCACCACTGGGTGCGGCAAGCCAGGGGCTCAGCGGCCATGTTCGATTGGCCTGTCTTTGAGGTGTTCGATCTCTCTGCGAGTATCCTTGCATCCCAGTACCAATGTCACCAATCTCGATGCGTGGGTAACCCATGCGCTAAACCGACTAAATGTAATTCCGACATGCACAAACACGCGTGGAATGGGATGTCCAGGTCGAGCCTTCTCTTGGTGCAGTGCTCAGCATTGGGGGCAGCCCGGCGTGACCGGTGATGGCATGAGCCCAGGATCTTGGGGTTCAGATTCCACCGGATCGCTACGTCTCAGACTACGCCAGCTGGGATGAAAAGCATCGCAAGCCCAAAAAAGCCACAACTGCAAACGCTCTGAATCATCAAACCCAACTTCCGCAAACTTGAAACATCTATCATCTATACCTAGCCGCTCGTCCTAATATGCCCTCGAACCACAAGCCCAAAGCATGGACGCCTGAGGTGCTTCTGCGCATCCTGGAGCCAAGAGCTGGACGGGCCAGGAGCTGAGAGACGCTGCGAGGAGTTTGTGTGGCAATCCGTTGTGGCCGTTCCTTCGTGCAGACTGTTCCAGCCCTGAAGACGCCTGGCCATCTCGCACCTGCGATTCTGATTATCTTTTTCCGCCGAGAAGTGTTTGAAACATTGACGCTTGAGCAGGTTCTTATCAACAATGTGGACACGCAGAAGCTTGGTATCAGCCTCACCCATCGTGAGATTTCTGCTTGTATGGGTGGCTGTGTTTTCGAAGACAGCATCATGCAGCCAGCGTGATCCTGCTAACTGTTGGGGACATCACAACATGAACTGCCCAGGGGACTAGAGGAGCGTGTTTTTTCCAACTTGCTTTGCAGATCTTTCTGCAATGCATTACTTGATTTGAACGGGGTGACCTCTTTACTCGCAGTGGCAGTTGAAAGAGATGGGTGCTAGATCTCGGCCTGCCCCAAACTCCGACTGAAGCTGCATGGTTTGAGTTTGAGGCCTCATGACCTTGCGTGGAGCGTTGGGTCTGGTGCCACAGGCACTGCTGCTGTGCTGTAAACTGCCATGACCTATCATCAATATGTTGGGATGTGTCGGGCGCATGAAGCTGTTTGTTCCTTTCGCGAGATCCTCAGCCGCGACGCCCGCATGTGGTGCAGGATCCCATTCTTTTCACCGGCAGCTTACGTCCGAACCGAAGCTCCCGGAAAAGTGCGGTTGAAACGTGTCCAAGCACAGAGCCTTATGTCAACATGCATACTTTTCAGGACAGAATATTGTGCAAGATCAATCATGCCATATGTTGTGGAAGTTTCCGCCTCGATGTCTTGCTGCTTGGGGGAATCACTTACGAAGAAAACCGCTACTCCGAGGTCACAACCTGGACCCCTTGGAGTATTACACGGCCAGAGCTCCCGGTTTTTCATGCTTTTGCAACAGAACATGCTGGTCGAGGCAAGGGAAAGACATGTATCTTGCTAAGCAATGTGGGAGCAGGTGGACGATCTGCTTGACCGTTGCACGCATGAGTCGCTTCTGAGGACGGCCGAATCTGGGAGGCTTTGCGCCCCTAGCTTGGTTTGCACAGATGGCTTCAGAATGAACCAGTACTGTCTAGCTTCGAGACGATATGTTCATGATATGAGGCGAGGCAGAGCAAGCCTCAAAGTGACATCAAAACTGGTTATATCGGTGTGCTTTTGGTTGGGCCATGAAGCCTGGAAAAACTGGTGAGGACTCATGGCGAAGCATCGGAGAATCATACTTAATGTATTGTATGCAGGAAACACAATCAACACGTACTTAGCATGATACATACCTACGTACATACCTATAGGTACACACATACACAGGGAATAATACATCACATAGAACACATGAGGTGTATATAGCGCATCTAGTACATTCTGTACATACAAGCGCAGGTGTAAACCGAAAACTACACAAGGTCCTCGTTTCGTTGCAAGGTTATGGCGCATAGTTTAGGGGCCATAGTAATTAGAACAGGGTTTCAGGCTGAATTGTAGTAGGCGTTCGTCCCAGGCTGTGCGCACCTCGACGGCCTTGTGCGATCCTTCGTGGGCGGTCTGGACTATCAGGCTCTCCTTTTGCTAAGGCATTTGACGGGCCTTGAACGGTAGGATAAATGGCACGACACCACGATATTTTCGAAATTCTCTACTTTCTAAAGTGCTGGTGAAGCAGGAGGCGAGTATAGCAATGGCACCGATTCTGGTGGTAGTGTAATTGAGAACTAGACATGCCTTCTAAACGAACAAGCAACAACGTGGTGACAGTTCCACTGAAAGATTGGGATAGGAAGGAACGTATGGCCGCGAGATCCGACATGTTTGAGGTCACTAGTTACAACACCCGCCATGAGAAAATACGTTGTTGCAGTACTGATGCGGCAAGCTAGCTAGCTGCCTCCCTTTCTCTCTATACATGCGATTCTCTATGTGAGTGTGTGTGTGTGTGTGTGTGTGTGTGTCTGTGTCTGTGTCTGTGTCTGTGTGTGTGTGTGTCTGTGTGTGTGTCTGTGTGTGTGTGTGTGTGTGTCTGTGTGTGTGTGTGTGTGTGCGTGTGTGCGTGTGTGCGTGTAAGCATACATGCACATACACGCACGCGTCGCCGGTGTTTTCCAACCTTTGCATCTTTTGCAGGTCAGCGACGAGGGCTCCAACTTAAGCTTCGGGCAGCGGCAACTTTTCTGCTTAGCGAGGATGGCCCGAAGCTCAGGCTCCAGAGGACAAGGAATTATCGTTTTGAGGGGTTGTTCGTGGGGTTTGGGTTCGGTTGTTTGTCGAAATTTGGGTTTGAGGGTTTGGGGTTCTATGTTGAGGAGCAGAGTCTTTTTTTGCTCCAGCACTTGGGTGCCACTTCTGGCCACGATGAAGCTTGAGGACATGCATGGTTATACAATATAAGTTTTCTTATGTTAAACTATACTGCACTTGCAGCGCCGCACAGGTGTTGAGGCAGCCTTCGCTGCTGCTGTTGGATGAGGCCAGGCTGCCGTCGCATCGAACTGGCGTAGGTGCTCAGACCTTATAGCCCCTGGTTGCAGTCCCGGTGCAATATGGTATAATATAGCAAAATCAACACAATAGAATTTTATTGCCTTGATTCCCAGCTTGAGGTTGGGCATTTCCTTCCCCAGAGTCGAAGTTCTGGAGGACTTCTATCCTCCACCCCAGCACTGTGTTCGCTCCTTTACGCGGCTTTCGATGATTTCCGTTTTCATGCTCGCCGCCTAGCCCGATGTCCCAAAGGCTCACCATGGGACCTAGAGCACCTTTGAGCGTGTGAAATATGTTCTTGCAGGCGACATCCGCTATTGATCCTCGGACGCAGGCACTTGGGCGGTCTTTCGCGACGTTGTTTCTGATTTTAGCTTTGGGCTGGAAACCATGAATGACAGCATGGAGCGGGATCCGGCGAATCGAACCTTCAAGTCCAGACTAGACTGCGTGTTTTGATCGACACTCCCAGAGCATTCTTAGGCACAGGTGGCTACTGTAGTCCATGATAGCCCATACTCAGTACTCTGTTTGCAGCAGCCGAAGTAGGAAAGCCGTTGTGCATGCGCATACTGCCGCCATCGGCAGTGAGGCCTTGAACAGAGTGCAGGGCTGTACACCGCATGCAAGTTCTGCGGCCATCATTATGACAGGCTTCGAGCAATTCTGCGAATCTATCTGGGATCATACGTAGTCTCTTCCGTTGTAAAATCGTGTTGAGGACTCGGCATCTCGACCCTCGCTCCATGCGACGGTGTTGGGTAAGCAGGTGTTGTCTGCGCAGTTTTCAACTTGAGCCGGTGCATCAAACACACAAGGCTGGAGAGGTGGACGAGTGGATGCAAGCTACGCAGACCTGCCTTCGAGTGACTTGCGAAACTGCCGTGAGACAGGAGAACGTGCAGGAAACTATCAGTGGGCACCCCAGCATCCGCACAGAGGCAATTGTGTAAGAAACGCAAGATCCTGCGCCGAGTTGTCGGTTCCGGCTAGGAACTTGTGTTATCTGTGCAACGATATTGCGGTGGGTTTAGTTTGGGAGATCCCCGAACTGCAGCTGAGTCCCACGATCTTGTTGAGCTTCCCGCTAAGGTCATGCTTTTCCTGATTCGACACTGGTGGCTATTGCACATCGCCGAAGACTCAATGCGACGGGCAACGAGTCCATGACAACAGCAAGGGGCAAACAGGTTTGTCGGTTTCGGCGCGGTTTTGAATGCGATCCAGCGGCTGATGCTGAAAAGAATCCCTGAGCGATGCATGGGCCTCTGCCAGGGGTGCCAACCGGAAGAAAGAAGCGAGCGAGCAAGCAAGTAAGAAGCTGGATTAACTTCTGCTCTTGGAGGATGTTGCATGTCAGGTCTGGAGACGGTGCTCGAATTTGACCAAGTGGTAGTGCTGGATTCCGGGGAGGTTGAAGAGTGGGACCCTCAGTGATTGCAGCCTCTGGGTAGCAGAGATGATTGCTCCGAGCCGCTGAACTTGAAGGCTTGCAGGCTTTAGGATACATGTTGGCCTAGCGGGACCGTTTGAGCTCCTCTACCACTTTGGAGTCTTGAGCCAGTGCCACCTTACAGTCATTGCCTGGCCCCAAGGCAAGGCACGCCGAAGGAGCTCCAACAGCTCCAGGACTTGATCAAAGCCCTGGATGTAAAAGCCCATACTTATACACGGGGATCCCTTTCATACGAACCCCGAAGTAAGGCACCCTTGCTTCGCTGAATCTTGTGCTGTCTTCTGTGCACTTGCTAAAGAAGACCAGAGCATGAGCAGCATTACTATATGAGAGGTGGAGGGTTATGGATGAGGATAAGGAGTTTAAGTACTTTGGGCTGAAGGGTTTGCGGGTTTGGTGATTTTCGCCGATTGTCTCATGCAATTCCAGCCGCAAGTCGACGGAGGATGGCCAGTTTCGGAGGATGCTCGCGGCAAAGAAGGCCCTTCCTGCACTGGCATAGTTCGAAGTGGCGCTCTTTGGCTGGTAGTAGGGTTCCCGGGAAGCTTGAATTCAGTGTACTCTCTTGTGTCTTGGGCGACGATATGTAAGCTCAGGAGGTTGCTAGGGAGCGAGTGAGAAGTTTGTCAATAACATCCAGGACTACGTTCGTATCATGCGACAGCTAAAGGCTGACCCCTCGATACATTCTTCGATGACGCAACGTCGCGACGCTGGTAATGTGGAAGAGTGCCGTCCGTCGGTCGGAGTTTCCTGCTGGGTGCAGCAGGCAAGATGCCAAGATCGGACCCTTCAAAACCCTAAGCTGCACTGGCACTGCATCCTTTGTTTGCGAGGAGTGACTCGAGTTCTGGGGTTGCGACTTGGTTGGATCGAAGGTCCACATTGAGTACTTTCCTGCCTGTGGAGCGATGTAAAAAGGAGCCTCTTTGCCTGGCCGTGCAGGTGTGGTGAACCCCTCGGCAGACCAAGGTGCCATGACCATCCGCCACTTGTGATTTGTTCGAATTTCCTGAAGGGGCTCACTCTGAGATGCAGAGCGCACAAGTGTAGCTCCTGTCATCAGCCTCGGGATAACTGACTTGTCCTGTCCCGCATTGAAGCCATGCTGGTCTCATAGACACTTAGCAGATTTGCGCCCTCGAATCTTGCTGATCCACACAACCAGATCCAGCAAGACGATTAGAGCATCCACGTCTACCCACGGCAGGCTCCCCAGCGAGCGCAGGGCAAGGACCCGCTTGAGCTTCCAACGGCCGCGTACAGGGAAGGTAGGTCGGTGGAGGAACAGGTAAGCATATATTGACACATTGAGTTGAAGGACCTAGGGCCTTAGGGCAGTCATGCACCGGCCGGCTACTAGCTGCATGCGCATGCCTCCTTGAGAGGCAGCCCAAACGGGCATATAGAGTCGTGCTATAGTTTCTGCTCAACCTCTCCCTGCATCTGGCAGCCTGCATGTGGGAAGAACAAAGATCAGTCTTTTGCCCTTCTTTCCAGCTTGGCTGAAACTTGCCATGCATTTTGTGAGAATGGACCTTTGGGCGATTGAGTTTTCGCTGCTTACCCGGGTGGCTCGAAATTAGGATGTGGGGGTAGGGGCTAAGGGCCCCCTACAAGCCCACAGGTTCATGGACCACCCAAGACCAGACTCAATCTCCGGGCGTAAGTAAGATCACATCGATTTACTTCCAGCACCATTTGCCCTTAACATACCTTAACTCAGCCATGCGGTGGTCGCTCCTCCGCATTAGACGACGTTTGCAGACTCACAGCCGTGCAAAACGTCGTTCAAAGGCCAGATCATTTCGCCTTCAATCCTTGGCTGAAGTCTTTCCATTCTACAGTGCACAGCTGACGCCCGAAAGCTTTCAGGCCGCCCGACACTTTTGACTTGACATGCCCTTATCCCATGTCGGTCCTGGCCCCATCGGGTTCCGAGGAGCAGTGACCCCAGTTTCGGTTGGAGCTTGGGCGTGTGTGGATGTGGCCTTTGCATGCATGGTTGCAGCAGAGACGTAGGCAGATGGGCAAAGCTCCTTCAGCCTTCAACCCAGGGTATCGGGATTGCACCCAAGTTGTCTATGAGCATTCGTAGCTGCAGCCAAGAGCCTGCAAGATCCAAAGACTTGTGCTGCCCAGGGCCGAGAAGAAGGTGCTGGGCCTATGCGGCTCGGCAGAGAGCTAGGTGGTCCTGTATTTAAAGTGTCTGACACGCTCGGCGTCGTGCCACACCCGTCCCGAGACATACGCAATCGCTCACGGTGGGGACAGCACGGCTTGTTATGGTTCAGCTCATTGATTCATCAAGCCGGAATTGGTTTCTCAGGCAAGCTCTATGTGCTCCGCACGGTCCTCGGTTTCCAAGTTCGAACTGTCATCATGCAATTACGGAGAATTGCCGGGACATAGCCGCGAGGGGTCTCAACAGCTGCTCCATATTCCCACCAGGAACTCATCCCTCGTGATAGAAGCTGAAGCTCCCGAACCTGGGCTTGAAAGCAGAACCTAGAAAAAAACACACAAAGCTCCTAACACGAGGTGAGGATGCCTGGGAGGCAGGCTTGGGAAAAACTTGAGGTTCTGGTTGGGGAAGAAGGGAGCGCGGGACGGTACTCTCGCTGCTCTTGTTGTGGTGAAGACTGACCAGGCCGAGATCATGCTTTTGCAGGACACCGAAGGATCAAGTTCCGACTGCCTTGGCGTTTCGATGACAGGACAGAGGAACTGGGCGGGCCTCTGTTAATGCCGTCCCTGGCTCGGAGAGCAGCGCTGCTGCAGTGTTGGAGAGCACTGTGCGAGTAAAATTGAAGGCAGCTGCCTTTGCGAGGCTGCGAGAGACAAGAGGCTGCAAGTGCACAACGAAGCCGGCGAGGTGCTTCTCTACGTGCGAATCTCGGGCATGGTCGGACATGGCTAGCTGATATTGGGTTGATCAAGTTGCCATGAGCAGCACGAGTGCCAACAAGCGTTCCGGCCAGCGACCAGATGTTGTGTGCACTTCTTGCACATTGTTGGTTGCATGGACTGTTCCACAGTTATTGCTAAGACGACAATCCAGCTCGGAAAATTCACAGGCTGTCCGAATCAGCTTGAACTTGTTCCTTCGAAGGCTGAGAAGCTAATCGCGGGCCGCCGATGGTTTTGTCTGCAAACCCACCTGTCTGGTCTGGATCCTCGACCTTGTGTGCTTGGGTGCGTTCTGCATGGGACCCTCCCCTTCATGCGAATCCCGTCCTCAGTTTTTGCAAGTCTGCTTTGCTTCATGCATGCTGCATGGCTTAAATGCCGCAGCCAAGGATCGGCCTGCGCTGCCACCAGAGAGCTACCGACTACAGGCGCTGCATGGGCCAAGAGCTGGGGCATGCTTTGGGGAGCACTGGTCGTCGTCGCCGCCAAGGTGCCGCTGTTGCTGCTCTCCTTCAGTTGGCCGTGGTGATGGTGGTGGGAGTGGCGGCAGTGGCGGTGGTGGTGGTGTTGCCGTTGCTGTTGCTGTTGCTGCTGCTGTTGAGGCTGCCTCTGCAGCCGGTGCTTGTTGTCCTTCTCGCTGCTGGTGGTCCGCTTTGCTGTTGTGGCATGCCGGCTGCCCACACCCCACAACCCCTACAGTGCACGGACCACCGAGGGCCAGTATGGAGTATGAAGCCTCGATAGACTCGACTGACGCGCCAAGAAGTGATGGCAGGGGGACGATGCTGTAAAATCCATCGTCGCCGGATCCTGAATCCCACCGCCTGGGTGATCGGTTTCGGTTTTGTGTTTGTCTTCGTCTGGTTACCTGGGATGATCGTTCCCTTCCATGGTTTGTTGCTACTTTCGGGGAAGTCTTGTCAATGCCTTAGCGCTGACCTGATTAGCTTGGCGGACATGAGCAATCCCAACTGCTTCGAAATCACGCATGAGATGAAGTACAGGACACAGGGCGTTCGTAGACCGGCCGTCTGAACCTCTGTAGCTTGTCTTAGGTGTGGGAAGACGTGGAGATGGGCACTCAGATCACTGGAGCAGCTGGAGATTGCAGGAACTCTCTAGCAGCCTTTGATAGTGCCTTTGAAGTCAACCTCCCAGACATCCGCTGGTCCGGGCGACAGAAATGAAGTGTTTGGCATCATTGTCGGTAAGCCGGCTTCACTTCCCAACGCATGCCTGGGAGATGTTGTCCTTTGCTTTTGTCGGACTGCTTGAGTGCTATGCTTGCTACGGATCAAATATGCATGCTCTCGCTTGGTTTGTCTGGGCTGGACGGGTTCTGAGTTGAACACTGTAGTCCGTGCGCGAGCGCTCAAGGCTGATATTGGCCACTGAGGCAGCAGACAGACTATGCGCTAAGCTTCCGAGATGCTGCCGCTGGGCATTGATTTCAAAAATCGCAAGTCGAAAGCGCATCTTCAGCACAGCATCAAATACACGTTCGAACGTCGGCTCTACACTGTCACTGACTAACAAAGATGTGAGCATGCAGACAGAACAACATGCCAACATGTGTGACTGCAAATGTATATTGTACACACAAACACACATGCACACACAAGCGCCCGCACGCCCACACACACAGAGTATAGGTTGACACCATCATTCACAGTTTCTGGAAGATCTTGTAGAGGATGAGGCAGTTTCCTAAGTATCCGGGGTGCCCTGACAATGATTCGAACGCTGACATGTTGACAGGACTGATTTGCGCAGGCCTTGAAATCGTCGGAAGGGGTTCTCGGCTTAGCCCCATGCCATATCCAAAGAGCATCATCGACGAAAGTAGAGCGTTATCCAGGATAACCACTGTACAGCCAAGGAACATACATGACGTCACGTCACAAGCAAATTGAGGTATGTGGTCTAGGCGTTTTAGACCATATCCTGGTGTGTGACTGGAGCTTCGTTGCACCAGGCCAAGCCACACATCCCTGGTGCCCCTGCTGCTGATTCAACAATCTCACAAGTTACTTGTGTTGCCAAAAACCCTTAGCTTAGAGTCAGGGTGTACACTCACACACTGCTTGACTGCATCATGCAACCGTCCAGCATGCAGACATTGCTTATGCTGTTTTTGCTGGGATACCTAAGTCTAAACGCGTCGGGTGTATGTATACATCAGACGTCGCTCCCGAAGTCATGTGTGCAGATATGCACGAAATGCACACATGCTCAACCGGCGTGTTCACACACCTCTCCATCTCCCGTTCTGCTGCCCCCTTTGGCTCTTGTTTTTCTACTCTCCCGCCCTTCTCCTCCTCTCCCCTCTTTCCCCATCCCCGCAAGCCACTACAAGCCTGCACAAGCACACCATGTCCAGGCTCTGCCTGTGTTTTGCACGTAGCGCTCAGGAGAGCGCCGCTCAGCTTTTTGCCGAGCTCCGCAAGGGACCTAGTCCGGAGAGCGGTTTGGGCCCTTAAGGTTGACGGCTCATGACTTCGCGACACGCTTTACTTTAGGGCTTTTCTGGGGTTTAGGTGCGTGGTTTTGGGCTTCTTTTCTCCGTCAGAAGCACAAGAGCAACCGACGAGGTTGCGGTGATTGATGCCAGATGGTTGCGCAGAGCGAGTATTGCTCCGGATTGCAATTTTCCAGCGAGCCGCACGCCCCAAACCCGTAAAATATTTGCTATGTCTTCATCCGCCTGTAAAACTGTTCTGGGACACCTGCGAGAGGGAGTAGCTAGTTCACGGCTGGACGCGCAGCAGGGCTTGTGTTGCAAGGATGGTGTTGTTGGTTGTGAATGCTTCGGGCGAAACATGGCTGCTTGCCCTGTCTTTGACAGACTGCGAACCGAGGGACCTACCCGGCCAGTCCGAGGTGTGAGAGAAAAAACGGCTCGTCGTACGACTGGACACGAAGCCTTGCCTGCCTGGTGCGAGTTGCGAGAGTCGAAACCCCAACCCTCGCCACTAACACTGCCAAATCACAAAGCAGACTTGGCCTTTCTACAAGTCTACTTTGTGATTTCAGTTATGTGAGGCATCCTTGTCTCAACAAGGAGAAAAAGGAGTTGCATGTGCATGCAAGTGCAAGTGAATACGCAGCAGTATACAGACTGAAGAACAACGGCATTTTGCTGATCCGGCTGTATCATCTGCAAGACTGCGCTATGTCAAAGCAGTACGAGACACTTTGAGGGAGATGGTAGTAGTGTGCAAGGGCATAGCCAGCTTCTCTGCGTTATCTTGTGGCCATCAAGCTGCCAAAGGACTGGACTACACTTGTAATCATACACGGGCTTCAGTGCTAAAGCCTGCCGCTGTTCAACCAAGTACCCTGCAATGCGGGCTTCGTCCTTGCCAAGTAGGAGGGAAAAAACACTGCCATAGCCGAGTATGAGCGTCTTCCCAAACCGTACAACCCTTGTTGCGCTTACCTTTCCTGTGTTCATCGCCTGCGTAAACACGAAGCACTTGAAGCGAGGCCTTGAGACGGTGTGGCCCTTGGAAGTGCTGCAGACCGTTTTCGCGTACTTTATGTTATTGAAGGGTAAATCTGAATATAATATTTCATGGTATATAACTGTTTGTTTTGATATGTGGTAGTATGTACAAGTAAAGAGTAGTATGTTATTGTGTTTGCTGTATATCTTAGTACATCACGGTACGCGGTAGTATGTTATTGCATAGGATGAGTCTGATTGTGGGTTTGGCATCAGGCCATGCTTCGAGTCTGATTGGGCTCTCGAAAGTCTCCTACAGACGTTTCACGTTGCAAGGTTCGAGGCCTCTTGTCTCTTATCGGGGTTTGAGACTTCAGGTGCTGCAAGCATGTTTGCAACCTTGCAGGCACAACCGCCTCAGAACTCAGCATGGCGAAATCATGGATAGAGCTTGTCGCGGCGTACGATGTTGAAGTAACGCTGCCATAGGCAATGGACACTTCATGCCGCCGTGTATGGTGATCTTTCAGACTCGCGGCCTGTGGCCAGGAGACTCCAACACAACTGCTCTCTGTGCAAGACGACTCATTCATGCGGGATCTTCCTTTCGTGTGGAACATTGCCATTTGTGGATATGAGACTTTATGCACGTGCTGAGGGTATATCATATATTGCAATATATGACGATATGTGAACCTCTCTATGCAACATCGAATAAGATGATATTAGGAGTCAGCTGCTGATTCTCTTCATCGTGTCGCAACTGAATGCCTTTGCGACATGTTACAGTATACTGGAAGACATTGCCTAGTACTACACTATATTACATTAATCTGCATGAGACTACGGTATGTGACAACAGTTTATCAGATACATTGCTCTTACTGGTCATTGCTATATAACAACTTTCTACTATATGAAAACTTTATACTACACACAATATGTCGCTAAGTACATATTGCATGTGATAGACTCTTAATGAATAACATAAACTATAATAGATTTCCTGTAGTTCGGGGAAGCGTGTTATGGTATAGTAATGTATTCGATTATATTACGCTGTATTCCTCATCCCGCTATGTTATGATTATGTTGTATTTTATGTAACATCGTTATGCATTCATAGTGTAGGGTACATTCAGCTCTGTGTATCATACATTTCGTACTATGTAAGATGTAGTCTTACATTTCATGAGGTCATATACAGTTCATCATAGAGTACCTTATACACAACACTTTACTGCTATCTCATTGGGTATAATCTCCTAATGAGCTGTTCTTGGAGATGTGTTACGTAAACAGATGCGAAGAATGTATATATACACATACAGTCATACAGTTACATGCATACATACATCTGCCATGAAATGCCATGCCATGGTAATATGCCATGCGACGACACGCCATGCCATGCGATACATTACATACATACGAACTTACATATGTTGAGCAAGACCAGCTGCAAATTGAGGCTGAGCATGTGCTGCCTTCGCCAAAGACGGAGAGTTTGCGACACAGCTGCTCTGTGTGCATGTTTTCCCACAAGTTCCCCTGGGGTGTTTCAG